TTTTCGACGATTTTTGTCGTTTACTTATATCAGCACGACAGTTGGCAATGCTAATGTAGTCTAGTCGTACAATTTAGCCAAATTTATATAAAATTTATAAAATATTTTATCCCGCAGCTGTATTTCGAAAGAAGGCAATAGGAAATTAGCCGTGGCAAAAACTATCCAACTGCATTAGGTCTCAGGACACGATGGTGTTGACGGTAAAGAAAAAGTTGCGGAGCTAGCCAAAAGGGGCATTCTTCTTGATGCCTCACAAACCACGGATTAACCGATTCCTCTATAGAAAGTCAAACGATCTCATGAACTTTGTATTTAACCGCCAGGCTGACAGAATGTGGGTTGCATACAAAGACTTACATACATGACGTACAGATTTCTTGCTACTAAGCAATAGGAAGAGCATACTCCGAACTGTTCATGGGGTACGGGGCTTGGTAGCAGCGCGTACTTACAAACTAGATTTAGAGGGAGAAAAAAAAAATTTAGAAAGTGGTTTTTGCTGGTTGGCGAATCAGCAGGACCTAACTTAACCTAAATGGATCCTACTAATCCTGCTAATATTATAAATATGAAAGAGTGTGAGTGAGTATTTAAATGAAATTTGGCGCACAGATAGGTTTGTTATATCCTGGATTAACATATGGATATTTTTGGAGAGTTACCACCTTTTTCAAAAGGTGAAATAAATTAATTAATAGGTTAAACAAAATATAACAACCATGTGGGTGTCAAACGAAAGGGGTCCTAAAACAATCTATTTCGAAACAATGTTGAGGAGGGTTACCACCTGCTCAAAAAGTCAATTTAATTAACTAGCTAAATGAAGTATTTTTATATACGTAGGTATCAAACGAAAGAGTTCATTTGGAGATTTAAAACAAATTTAATTAAAAAGTGAAATGAAATTTTGTAATATATTTCTCAGATGAGGGAGATTTAAGAGAGCTCTATTTCGAAAATATTTTTTACGAAGGTTGCTGCCTGGTTAGGAATTAATATCAATTTAATCAAAAAGTTAAAGTATTTTAATATGGCTGTTAAACAAGAGAGGTATTAGAAAGGTCTATTTAAAAAATATTTTTGAAGAGGTTTGCCAACTGTTTAGAGATTCAAAACAAATCTAATGAATAAGTTAAACGAAATACTTTTTTTATATGGTTATTAAACGAAAGAAAGCTCCATTTCGAAAATATTTTGGCACAGGGCTGCCAACTATTTGAAAATTCAAAATCAATTTTGATGAAGTTAAATGAAATATTTCAAAATGGATTCAAACGAGAGAGGTTTATTTCTAAAATACTTTCGAAGATTTGTTTATAAAATATTTTTCAAGACAAGGCTACCACAAGTTTAAATGCTTAAGTTTAATATATTGATGTAAAATGAAATATTACAATGCGGGTGTCTAAGGAAAGAAGCTAATAAAGTTTTCCTTCTCCTAAATAGACTGCCTCAATTAAGACAACCATCTGAGTAAGAGCATCAAAATGATTAGCCCAATTCTGCAGCATTCGGTACAACAGATTGAGGTGTAGCTGCAACATTTGACAATCATAACGTTCAGCCATTTATAAAACGGATGGGGCTGCGGAAAGAAGCTAAATAGTAATCAATAAAACAACATCGTAATTGAATTCATATTCATAGTAAGTTTATTGATACCACAATGTTTTGGAAAAGGTGTGTTTACATTACAGTATTCGCATTAGTTAGTCTTTAGACATCAAATATGAAAATTCAGTATACATACATATCTAAGCAGTCGTACGCTTTTGAGCTCGTCGAACTTACATATCTGTGCTCTGCTCAAACAATGCCATGCTATTTGCTCGAAGTTCAACTGAGAGCTGGAGAAAAAGTGACAACCAACTGATTTAGACTAAAAAAATATTTATGTATGTATGTATGTAGTTGTATAAAAATAATTTTTTAATTTATTTTATTGCGCAAAAAACAAATGATTTTTGTGTTATTTTCTAAAAGTAAAATAAAAATTGTTTGTAATGTATTTCTAGTATTTTTTTAAATAAGCCAATTTTTTTTTTTGGTTTTGTCGCTGCACTTTTAAATTATGATATTGGTGCTGGCTGATAGCCCTTCTGCATTTTATCTGTATATATGTAGTAATAAAGTTTTTTTTTCGGTTGATAATTTTATTGTATTTTGAATTATGTTATAATTAATAATTAGCTTAATCATTCTAATGACGCCTAAAAGCTTACTACTTATGTATGTATGCAATGTTAACAAAATATTATTATGTATGAAAGCTATGATCAACATACACACACACACACACACATACTGAAAATATAAATACAATATTTTACCACATCTCTGGTGTTAGTTTATGAGAATTTTTATGCTTTGTGCTTATTTTCTATGTATGTATATATGTATGTACCTAAAATTTAATATAGCATACATACATGTGTATTAGGGTGGTCCTTAAAAATAGCAACATCTAAATATTGTATGCGGCACCGTTTCACACACAAGTTCACAAGTTTCTTGGTATTTTTTAAAGAATTTACAGTCTTTGGAGCTGCATATTGCATGGATTTGGTGATGACTAAGAATTTCTATGAATAATTCTCAACTTGACTTTAACAGATTTAAATTTTTTCAAAGCCTGATGGCGACTACTGAAAATGAAGTTTTGTACGTAGAACAAAATAAAAGTGTGCGCCATAAAAAATTTTTGCTATTGATATTTTTTAGGACCACCCTAATGTGTATGTATGCACGTTTGCACGCATTTATGTATGTATGTAAAAATGTATGTAGTAAATATTAAAAAAAAAAATGCAAGCCATTGAACCGATAATGCTATTTGGCGTAAATAGTTTATCTTTAATTTAATTGTAGTTGTGATGCGATTAGTTTTATTTACTATGCGTATTAACATTTAAAAGCAGCCATTTATAAATACATACATATTTCTCTTTTCCTTTGTCTCTTGCGTATGCTAATCGTACATAAGTAAATACTCGTAAATATATATGCATGTGTATCTATGTATGTAAGTATGTATACTTATTTTGCTTAAATTTTCATTAATGTACGCAGATGCCTTCATATGCTGTTTGTTTTTATGTATGTATGCATATGCATGTATTTGTGTATGTAAATATATTATTTTTTGGAAGTAGTATACAATAAGTAGCCAACAATACATACATATGTATAAAAGCTATGGCGTCTTAAGGTATGCTAAAGCAATGAGACGCTTACGAGTGGATATGAAATACTTTGGGGTTCGTATTATTTTTTTTTGTTTTTTTTTTTTGTGTTTAAGATCATCGTTTCTTCTCCGCGACCTTACATATTTACTTTGAATTTTTCATTCACTGTTTTTTCCAAAAAATCATATATTTTTGTTTTACTTAATTTGTACCTTAATGTAAAGTTTTTTTTTTATTAGTTAATACTTTCAATATATTTAATTTTTATTAAATATTATTATCATTATTAGTTTTAAATTTTTAGTTTAATATAAACTTAAAGTGCGCATTGCTAAAAAATATTCTAATCTTATTTGTATTCATTATGAATAGTTTATACAATAGGCGGGGAGAAATGCGAGCGCCACCATGGCGTAACCTTTTATGGCTTTTATACTTAGATCTGTTGACTCTATTTTTAATTTTTTTTATTACCCAATATTTTATTTATAAATAGGTATGGAGTTTTCGAATGATTTGATCCAGCGCCAGAGGAAAGAAGTAAAAAGTGCAATACAAATAAAAAAAGGCGTGAGTACCAGGTACTCCTGTAATTTGACGTGTAAACATCATTTAATGGTATTTTATGAATTTTGTCAAGGAGGACTCTTTTATAACCACTTCAGGTATAGTTCACTACTATGTGAGGATGATTTTGTGACTATTTTCTAACTACCGCACAAGAATTGTACTGAAGTGGTTCAGAAAAAGTCGTGTATTTGTCCCAAAATGATCTCGAAATAGGCTTGAAATGGTCCAGAAATGGTCTCTTACTAGTCCTAAATTGATCCAGAACAAGTATCGAAATTCGCCTGGACTAGTCACGAAATGAACCTGAACTAGTTTCAAATGGTCCAGAACTAGGCCCGAAATGGTCCTGATATAGTCGTCAACTAGCCCCGATTTATCCTGAAATACTCCACAAATGTTCAGTTGTGTCCTGAAATGTTGCTGAACTAGTCCTGAAATGGGCCCTTACTAGGCCCAAATTGATCTAGGAATAGTCCCAAAATTCGCCTGGACTACTCAGGAAATAAACCCGAACTATTCCTGACCTATGAAAAAAAGTTTCCAGCAGCATTTCAAAGATGAATGTTGCAGAGGGAAGTCTCGTACGTACGTATGTATGTGGAATCAGGATTGCACTCCATTTTTCAAAAAAGGAAGTTTTCATAAGCATGTTGCAGGATACATATTGCATACCATATGTTGCAAAGAAAATGTTGCAAGCGTAACTTTTTGATATGATCAATCGGAGTATATTGTGAATTTTAGGAAAACATTTTGGGCAACAGTTGCTTTTGAAGCTGCTGAGAGAAAGACTTGGTCTTATTACCATCATAATCAATGATTATTAACAGTTTGATATGAAAAATGTCTTTATTCTGCAACTGGTATTTTACGGCTTTATAGTTTTCCACATTAGCTACTACCCGTTTACTTGTGGGGACAATCTTGTCAGTCTAATAAGTAGACATATACTACTTACTTATGTATGTATGTTGCTGGCCGAAAACTTGATAGAAGATCACTGAAAAAAATTACTATGGAACTGTAAGGACTTTATGTTGAAAATATTCAAATTAAGTCAAGGTATTTAAATGCATACACTTTTAACTCCTCTCTGCGTGACGCCTACAAATCATTTCGAATATTTTATATTTTTCACCTTACATTTTCACTTTCTTTCTTCTCATATTTTTCTCAATTTTTCACGAATTTTCAACCAATACAATGTCGTAATACTTAATTCACTTTTACTACCACTTTTTACTTTTTTTTTTGCACTTGATACCTTTCAATTACCAATTTTTGCTTCCTCGTTTGTGTTTACGTTTCATGACATTCCCAGTTGAGCTGCAGCTGTTAAGCTGTTATGGCACCTTCGCTTTTCATTTTCGCCACTTAGCCTTCCGCTCAGTTGTATGTCTGTGCTGTCGCATATAAATTACCGCCATCATGTTCGGAGGACATGGAATAGTTGGCCGAGTCGCGATCCTCGGGTATAGTTGTATTGACTAGGCTGTGCTGTAGTGGATCCTGCAGCAGCTTGGAGAAAGTGTGATGGCCGGCGCCAAGTCCCAAATGCCCATATGGCGATTCAGCCGCCTTGGTGACGTGCGGCAAGCGACGCAGGAAATGCGGATTCGAGTAGCGTACACCATTCGGCAGTGTCGTATGCATACCGGCTGGCGGTGGCGGTGGTGGTGGTGATGTTGACTGTGGCTGTGAGTATTGCTGCTGCTGTTCGTTTAGCAGTTGCTGTTGCATGCGCGCCGCATTAGCACCCGCCATCGCTACCGACGAATTGGCATATTGTGCACGAAAACTACTCAGACCACTGTTGAGCGGTGGCGGCGGCAGCGGTGGCTGTGAATGCATCGAGTATGCTGATGTGGTCATGCCATAGTTGCCACTACCGCGTACAGCTACTGCCGCCTGCTGTTGACTATGACAAGCTGCCGGTAGCGGCATTGTGCTACAATGATTGGCGTAATCGAATTTTTGTTCGGGTGCTGAACGTGTCAGTGGCAGTGTGGCGCTGTTGTGTGCGCGGCCCCCAGAAGCACCACCACCTGCGGTGGTAACATCACCACCAAAACTGGACATGCGCATGTTGGTGCAGCGACCGTAGGGCTCCTCTTGAATGGCCGGCTGTGGCGGCTTGGGTGGTGGCTTGCATGCGGCACGTGGTCGTATGACCACCTCCACGTCCCGCTCCTCGCCCGAGTGCACACCGCTCGACGATTCGGACGGAGCGCGCTCTGGCGGCGAAGTGGTGCTCTCTGTGGTGGAGGTGGTGTCGCTGCGCGGCGTTAGCGCTTCGTTGGGCACACCCGAGTCGGCACGACGCAGGCAGCGCGGCGTAGAGCTGGAGGCGATCTGGAAAGAAGCGGAAGAAATGTGAAAAACATGAAACAAGAGAAAATTAAAGCAATAATTAAATTCAGAATTGCAGTTTAATGGTGGTATAATTGAAGATGAAATGAATAATGAAGAAAGCGATTGGAAATAAATGGACATATTTTCAAAGACGAGAAAGTTGCCACTTTTTCATGAAAAATGGGCTTTGGCAAAACAAAATTCAATGTGCATAAACACTAGCCGCATGTAGGCGGAGTTTAGCAACATACATACATATGTCCAGGACCAGCTCGCACGTATTCACGGGAGCCACAGTACCTCGTTTACCTACTTTAATGGTACCCAGCCCTGGGTACCGAGCGTAAATCAATAATTTTCGGTCTAATTTCAGCCGAACCATCAATAAAATCCTGGTTTGTTCCTTTCTTCATTAAAAAACTGACTCTGGGCCTTTTTCTATGAATTGCCGAACAAAAAATGGACAAAAGAACATAACGTCTTAGCAGATCTGCCAAGTTTCCGAAGTTTCCGAGTACCAGAATAAAAACAACCTCCTACCCGGGTGCCTGGATTAAAATACCCCGCTACCTAGGGAACCGAAAAAAAAAAAAATTATCTTCTAAGCGGATATGGCGTGTGTGTTACCCACATACCCGAATTGCATATATTAACCCGGTTTCTCGGACAAGAATAACACGCTACCCAAATACACAGATAAAATCTTCTCCTACCCGGATACTCGGATAAAGATAACCCCCTACTCAGGTAATGTGGCATATATAACCCGCTATTAGGTATCCGGATAACGACAACCGCATACCTGGAAACTCTGATAAAGATAACCCCATATCCGGGTACCCGTATCAAGATAACCGCCTATCCGGGAACTCGGGTAAAATACCCGTCTAAAGATAACCCACAACTCGGGTCCCAGACAAGTATAACCCGCTATACGGGTACCCGGATAAAGATAACTGCCTACCCGGGTATTCGGATAAAGATAACCCCATAGCCGGGTACCCATATAAAGACCACCCACTACTCGGGCCCGGCCAAATATAACCCGCTATCCGGGTATCCGGATAAAGTTAACCCTGTACCCAGGTACTCGTTATTACACAATATTATTTCACTCACTTAATAACCGAAAACAAGCAACCATTACATATAAGTCTCTTAGGTTAATCTCAGTGGAGGAGATTAATTTCTCGAAATTAAAGATAGATCTAAGTTGCCAAACAAAATAATGCGCGCATTTGTATGTATGTATGAATATATCTCCGAGAGAAACCTTTATGTGACTGTGTCTGAGCATAAGCGAAGCCTTTTCACGGGAGCTCCGCTTTAAGCAGTCGGCGTAGGTGTACAAAATTAAATTTACTTTACATTCAATAGCTTTTATTTAAAGTTACGAGTAAAGCAAAATAAATTTCTTTTTTATTACGGTAAATTTGACTAAAGGGCCGGTAATTATAAAATTTACAATATTTATATGTCTATATCTGCAACAAGTCCATCAATTATAAATTGCACAAACATACCCATATGGACATAACTTTCGCAACGGAAGCGAGAAAGTGTCCAGCCGACAACCGATGATTGCAAAGGACACACATATTTGCATGGTGGGCGGGAGGCGTGGAGCACGAAGCCTGCAATGAATGTGTTGAACGTCTGGTGGCGGTGACAATTTTAAGCCCGTAAACTGACACTTGGACACGAACAACAGCCACAAGTATGGCAGAGGAAAATAACAACTGAAACCGAAATCGTAATAAACAATTCTCGCATGCAAGCAAATTCGTATGTAATATTAATGCAAAGAAAAAGAAAATAGTCAACAAGTATAGGGTCAACCCAAACGATTTACATACATTCGACAGGCAAATGACCAGAGCCAGCAGCGGAAGCAGCCGCCTGGCTGAAGGATTTATTGCATTTGTCTTTGTGGGTGGGCCATGCGACACGCTCGATGCGCATAAATCACAGCACACCACAGTCACAGTGATGGAGTAGCTAGCAATACAATTACAACTACAACAAGTTAATGCTGCAACAACAACAACGAGCACACACATAGCCAACGATCAAAGACATAGCATAATGTTGCTGCTTCTTGTCTATGTTTATGTCTATGTCCGATGCATTCATTTATTACCAAAGAGATTTGATTTCAATTAAATCGTTGCAACATTGATTTGTTGCCCAAACACGCAAGAGACAGCAATAATTGCTGGAATTTGCTGCTAACAACATACATATATGTCATATAGATGATATGTAGGTACATACACCTTGGTGAGTAAGGGCAGATGCAAGGAATTTATGTTGCTTGATTTCGTTGTAAGTGTACACTGTACATATGTATGTGTGTTTGTAAATATGTGTGTATGCGTATGACTAATCGATGCCTAATCGAATCTGTGGCTGTTTGTGCACACAGCAAAGATGGAGCAAATTGCATAAAGCTTGTTGAGTTTGCCCACTGCAGTGTAGTGTGCTGTGACAGAGCGGTAAGTGGCACCAGGGCGTATGATTAACATGCACCGGCACCCCAAGGCAATATAATCAGCTGCATTTAGCGTGGTAATTAAAATTTACTTGCGGACTTCCTCACACAAATACACGGAAATACGCAAATTAAATATAAATGGAAAAGTTTTTCGTTGATAAATGCAATTGTGGCTTGGATAAAGTAATTTATGTATCTCAACGTTAGCTAAAATTAATGTATTGATTTCAAAAATATTTCAGCTCCACAAAAAGTAGTCCTTTATATACCAACGTGTTCTTACAAAAATGTGAATTTATTTGCTGATTGCGGTAGAATATTTATCCAGGAAAAAAACTTTTTTTTTTGAAAATTTTTAGGCGACAAAGCCCTTGAAATGGGCGTGACCATGACTAAATTAAAAAAAAAAAAACACATTTGATTGGGTTTTCGGTAGAATATCTCTACGTAACAACATTTCTTCAGCAACTTTTTTTTTAAATCGCAGAATCTTCTAGAAATGCACGTGGAAATTAAGAGAACCAAAGTTTTATCTTAGATTTTCTTGTGGATTTTGGCGGAATACTATTTCGGAATTCTCGAGACTATTTCGGTATTCTTCGGCCTATTTCAAGATTTTTTATATTTCATTGTATTTATCGATTTTTCAATCTATATATTTATCGATATATTTATCAAACATATATCGATATCTAATTTATTCATACATATATGTACATTAGAGTGGTCCAATTTTTGAATGGGGGAAAAAAATTCATCCTAGAAAACGGGACACCCCCTTAGTTTTTTCCTTTCGATATTTGTAATATCTATACCAACTTTCAGTTTTCTACTGCAACCAATACAGGCTGCTCAATGACCTTCAAATGCGCTACTGTATCGCTGTGAATCTGGCAAAAATATTGGTGATTTTTATAAAAAGCTACTGTTGCCATGACAACTGAAGCTTGTGATATTTTTTTAAATACATAATTTAAATTTTAAATGTTCTTAGATTACTTAAGCAATTGTTTGATTAATATATGTACACTATACTTTTGGAGTAAAATATGAGCATCCTATAAATTTATACCTAGAAACGTAAGGTTTGATACCAACACGTCTTTCGGCAAGACGTGTGGCAAGAGGAAACATTTTGGAAGGAGCCCCTATCTGGGAAAAAATGTTTTTGGACCACTCTAATGTACATATTTATCGATATACAGATTTAGTCTCGAAAAACCCGAAATAGTCCCTAGGATCTTAGAAAAAAATTAGTCCCGAAAACGCCGAAAAAGTCTCGGAAATCTCGAAAGAGTCTCGGGGATCCAGAAATAGATCCGACAATCACGAAAATCCTAAAAAGCTCGAAGTAGTCTCGAAAATCCCGAAATAGTCCTAAACTTACCGAAAAGGTTTCGAACGTTTCGACAATTTTGAAAAAGACAAAAAATAAGACCTATAAGTCAACCAGCCAAGGTACGTAACACGAGGTTATTCGTCGTGAATTGCGGGTCAAACAAGACAAAACTGTTCCAGCTTCTGTGCTAAAAAAAAATCGACCCGCCCTAATGTATATATAATTTATTCCATAAAATTCATTCAAGAAATAAGAATTCAGTTCTACGTACATACATTAAAAAAAAAAAAATGCTATAGAAGAATACTCACATGCGCCTCGTTGGTGTGCACTGTGACCGTCACCGGTGCCAATGGGCTGACTAGATGCTCCGGCGACGAAGACAATTGCATATTCTCTGGTATAGCTTGTGGCGCACGACCAACCATAGCTGCAGCAGTAGAACCACTAACACCGCCGCTACCACTGCTCATTGCCATACTCGTTGCACCATTAATACCAGCCGAGTTGATATGTGCATTACCGGCTATTGACTGCTGCTTGCCGCCGCCGCCGCCGCCGCCACCGCCACCGCCACCTATTGCTGTGTGATGCATTGGCGGTGGTGGAAGAGGTGGCGTTGTTGCTGCTGGCGGTTCCAAGTCGCGTGTCGATGCATACGTCACCCTGTCATCATGCACACAAGCCAAGAGTTTGCCCTCCTCCGAGGTGCTGTCATCACCAAAGCTGCCAGTGCCAGCAGCACCATTGCCAGCGCCAGCGCAATTAACATAGTCACTTCGAGCTGCTGCCGCACAGTGTTGGCCACTCGTAGTTGTTGGCATTAATTGTGGCGGTGGCGGTGGCAACTCATCATATTCGCTCAGATGTAAAAGTTTCATGCCATGCATGCCGGTGGGAGTTGTGCCGCTGACATGCGTCTCATTGCCACAGCCGATCGTCATGACGGGGTCGATTTTGTTTTGGTTGGTGGTGCCTTTGTTGCTCAACACCATGCTGCTCATACTGGTCATGTTGATGCCTGCCATGGTGGTGGCAGCGCTGGCAGTTCTTAATGTCGCATATTCTCCGTCGTCAATTTCCCCCGCAACACTGGCAAAACATATCGCGGTTCCACGGCACGAATGGCTGCATATTTCATATTTACAAATGGGTAAGTTGTTAGACGACAAGGACGACGACGACCGACGATGGATAGAGCGACAAGGTTAAATGCGAGGTAAAGTAGGAAAAAAAGAAAGAGAACATGTTTTCATAATTTATTAGTGCAAAGGTTATGTCCTAACTAATGTTACGTTCATTCATAAGGATATACCTAGGTGCATACATAAGTATGCATGTATGTATATATGTATACTTAAAAGGCTATGAATGACGAATGTGATTCACAGTGGCAGCAGCAAAAGTTGATAGTGTCACATATACATATAGGTATGTTTGCTTGTTTATTAGAAACTATTGCAATGAAACATATGTTCGTACATTAGCGTGTATCACTAAAAAAAAGTCGCGACTTTACTGCCGGAATTATAAAATTAATTACGTTTAAATATTTCGAAAAAATATTCAACCTTATCATGAGTTTAATATTTCTCGAACCGGTTCACTTTTCAATTTTGGTTTCCATGTATATACTATGGGCGGATCAAAAATTTTTGGGTGAATTTTTTTTTTCGGGTGAAACTCAGGATAAGGTAGATTAAGATTTACGTGAGCTGGGCCGATTTGAAAATACCTCCAAAAATAAAGTTATTATAAAATTAAATTTTTTTTCAAAAAATATCCTCAGATGACATAGAAGCTTAAGCTTAAAAGGTTTGCATAAACATCTTTGCACATTTTATCGTACGAATTAATATACATAATGAGATTTTTGGAGGCATTTTGAAATCGGTCCCGCTTACGTAAATCTTAATACTTTTCCGAAATATTTTATTGAAATAAATTAAAATATAATAGATAGTATAATACAAGATAGAAAAATAGTACCGTTTTTTTTTATTATGGAGTATGATACACCCTAATGTGCGGCATAGAAATACATTAGCGTCTTGAATATCAAAGCTTGTGCCTAGAAAAGTTTTTCTTTATTAATTTGATATTAGGATGGGCCGCCGAAAGAAAAGGTTGCATGATTTTACCTGTTGAAAAGCAGTTGTTTTAAATTTTTTTTTAGTTGTTTTCTTTTTTAAAGATCAACTCGAAATTTACAAATATGGATGAAAAATTAAAAATCGAATTTTGGGACGCTAAGGTGTGTTTCTTCGTGCGGCGTCACATATATGTATATTTTATTTCAAAGTTGCCTTGCCAAAATAATTCGCACTCACGGATGTACGGCGAATTTCTTTCTGGTACGGTCTAATGTTCAAGTATGACATACGAACATATTCTGTTTTTCTTTTCATTAACTTGGTTAGTCCTTTTACTATTTCCATACCTTGACTTTGACGTCGACAATGACGTTGACTTTGATTAATAAGAATATAAAAGGGCACAGTACTCGAAATTATAATTAGCAAATAATAAATTGGAAGTTAAGGGCCAGTGAACTTAATACAATGTCTGCATCAAGCATTAACACTGGTAATTAATCTTTGACAAAAGTTGGTTTTCCATACTTATTTATATTTGTACGAATATTTGTTATATCAGCCAATGAAAATATATTATAATTATTAAACTAGCATGCTTCGCCATGGATATTACATCTTTAACACTTCTTCTTCTTCTTCAATGGCGCCGCAATCGTTGATTTATGAAAAGTTTTCTGCTGGCGGTGTTTTGCATATGCCGCCATATGAAAAAATTTTCGAACATACAGTGGTGAAAATGTTAATATGGAAGGTCTCGTTTACCAAGTTTTGGCTATTTTTATTTGTTTGAAAAAGGGTTTTTTTATTTTTTGTTATGAAAATATAGCTTTTGGAATCTTTTTAAAAATTCGACGAATTTTAACCAGCTACTGAGAATAAAAGGTATGATCGAAACTAAATGTCGTTCTCGTAGTTTTGTTCCCAAGAACGTTTCAAAATCAAAACCAAAATGAGAACAAAACTATCGGGAATGTTGTCAATGAGAATTATGTAGGAACAAAACCCTGTGGAACGTTTCCAAAGAGAACAAAATTCGTATAATACTTTCCAGAAGATTTTGGAAAAGAACTAAACGGGAACAAAAGTCTTATGAACTTTCTCTGGAATAGCAACTGAAGTCTCAGGAGCTTTTTGACAGAGAACAAAACGTGAACAAATCTTCGCTGAACTATTCGATGAGAATGGAAGCGAGAACAAAATTTTTTCACATAGCGTTCATTAGTTTGAAATGTGTGAATATACATATTAATCAGAAAAGAACTGAAACTATGCAAATTAAGTCAACGAAAGACTTAAGACACGAACTTTTGTTCCTCAGAAAATTAAAAATTTGACAATTCAACCTAACGATAAACGATCTGGAAGTTAAAATGATACAGATTTCCTCTGGCTCAGAATTAACAATTGTTGATCCACTGAAACGATTTTCCATCTCAACACGCAGACCTCTCATTATTAAAGTTAAGTTCCCAAAACTTTCGTTCTCATTGGAAAAGCTCCCGAAATTTTGTTCTTCTTGAGAACGTTCCCGGGAGTTTTGTTCGCTTCTTGCTCTTTACGGAAACGTTTCCGAAAATATTGTTCATACTACTTTTGATCCCGTTTGGGTCTTTTGAGGGAACGTTCTTGTTAATATAATTTGTTCTCATGTAGAACTAAACCAAAACTGAAACGCGTTCTCGGTGCCTGATTTTAACAAATGTTCATAAAAATCTTTAACTTTTTAATTGGATTTTTTATTTAATCTTGGGTACGCAGTTTTTTAGTCCATTAAGTTTCAATAAAATAAAACGCAAGTTTGAAGTAGCTAGGGCTTACCGTTGATTTTTTGCAATTTTTTTCACGTATTTTCTTCCATTTGACAATTTTTTTTTGTATAGAGAAAATGTGCATCCCCTTCTACACAAAAAAAAATGTCAAAAATCAACGGTAAGTCCTAGCTACCTAAAATCAGCACTTTATTATACTAACTAAAATTGAATGGTTGATGACACTTTGTCGAATTTTGCAAATTTTTGTACAAAGTATGCAAATTTGACTTACAAGGTTTTTGTTGGACAACTAGTTACACTTTCATAAACAAATAACAAACATTAAATAAGCAAAAGGGAAATAGCCAAAGAATGCTTAAATTTTTCTTCCCTATTTATTTTTTCACCACTGAATTTATATAGATTAGGGTGCCTCATCAAAAAAGTTGCGGGTTTTCCACAGGAATCATAAAATTTATTATAGTTATTTTAAGACTTCCGCAAAATATTTCGGACAAATATTAAGATTTAGCTACACCTATTTGAAAATATCCCAAAAAGTCTCATTATTTTAATAATATGTTTAAAAATTTTTATGCAGGCAATCTAAGCTTAAACTCTTTTCTTATCTGAAGGGATTTTTTGCAAATAATATTTTCTAAACTAGTTTTCTTCATAAAAACTCTTTTTTGAAGGTATTTTCAAATTTTAAGAAATATTTTTGCGGAAGTCTTTAAATATAACAAATTTTATAATTCCGATAGAAACAGTACCGATTCGTTTGTATGGAGAGCGATGCACCCTAATGTATAATAATGTCGTGAATAATTTCGTTAGCAAAAAAATAAAAAATAAAAAATCGAAAATAAATGGGATTTTTTAGTATCTCCCCAGGCGAATTTATATAAAGTGGTATTGCTAGAACAGCTGCTTTGATTCGCCTCGGTACACATAGTCGCAACTCCTTATGAGTGAGTGCGAAAGTAATGGCATTTTCTTTCCCTATTCCTTCTTCACTGAAGAATAGCTTAAATTTGACATTTGTGTACCGAAAGCAAAAAAAAAATATATGTTAGCTTTTGTTTTGGTACCACCGCAACCACCTTGTATGAATTCTCATTGGTATCACCAAACTTGCTCTTTATATGTATAGCCAAGGTTTAATTTTTTAATTTTTTCAAAATTGTCATAACCAAATTCAAAACCATCCCCTTTTGAAAGAGCAATTATTTTTCTGCTATAATCTGATTATTTTGATTTATTTTACAAAACTTTCTGTTCAGGAATTTTTTAAAAGGACATTAAAATTTCAAAAAGTTATTTCAAAAAATTCAGTATAACATAATGTTTCTTCTACATTGCACTGAGTTTTTAAAATAATTTTTAGAATTAATCATATTTTTTTAAATTTCAAAGTCTTTTTAAGAAAAATCCCGACGTCAGAGAGGAAAACTAAAAACGTACTTTAACTATTTTTTGCACCTATTTTTCGCGAATATATTCTGCCGAATTACACAATAAATCCAAAACTTATTAGCTTTGGCCCTAAAATTGCCACGCCCATTTCAAGAAGATCCTACGATTTCAAAAATAAGTTGCGGAACAAATGTTGTTGAAGAAGAGATATTTTGCCGAAATCTACAATAAATTTTGCGTTTTGGTATTTTTAGACCTAAAACTGATACTGCCATTTTCAAAGGTTTGTCTTGATATTTCATTGAAACTTTGTTGATATATGTATATTTTTTTTGTACACAGTTTGCAACTATTGGCTTTTGTATTTTATTAAAATTAAGTAATTAAAAAGTAAATGGTTGAAACTTGCCAATATGTAGGTATTATAATACGCATTTATGCAGTACACATATATACATATGTATTTAAATAAACATACATATGTTTATAAATCCAAAAAAAAAAAAGCTAAAACCTCCTTTCATTGTTCGTAAAAAATTTGTTAGTTCCAATCTAAATCATTTTGCTGCTGCCACATGTGTCCATAACAACATATGAAAATACATACATATTTTACTAGTAGATATTATTTAACTCTATTTAGTTTCTAAATCTATCAAACAACAATATGTTAGTTGAACATTTAGATACATAAATAAATTGTAACTATATATATTTAGTTATTAACTACAAACCATACAATACATTTGTAATTTTGTTAGTAACATATTAGTTACATACATATGTACATACCAAAAAAAATACTAAGTTCCATACATATTTACGTAATACTATGAACGAAACGAAATGATTAAAATAAAAATCGTATATAGAATTTTTAATTAAAAAACAGGCGACAAGCGGAACAAAAATAGTTTCTTATTTTCAATACGACCAATACTTTTACATACAATAACTGTATCTGTCTGTCTGAGTGTATTCATCATACGTACATACAGTCAAATTTCAAATGCATAAATGTGTGTATGTATGTATGTAAGTTTGTATATTTTTTTCCCGTTACTTATGTATGTACGCCAAACGAATTAAATGTTTCGAAAAAGTGCGAGAGAATGGCAAAAATTTCACAAAAAAAAAACACCGAAATTGGTTTTTTAATTAATTTAATTGTGAATGTGCTGCATGTAAAAGATTTGAATGATAAGTGAAAAATTGGTGAGCGCGCAAATAACTTTAATAAAATTTCGCTTTTCAAAAGACGAGTTAAATGAAATAAAGATCAACGCAACTGCAAAGGACAAAAAAAATGAAAACAAAATGTCACGTTTCAAATAATAACACATTCAATGCATAAATAAGTGTGCTTTGGGCTTAGGGTAGAAAATAAAAAAAATAAACAAAAACATTTAAGCTGAAAAAAAAAATAAATAACAGATGCAGTTAAATATTAGTGACTTAAACGAAAAATCGGTAACGTGCAATGATTCAAAATTTATTGTTGGTTGTGTTGTGGAAATTTCAATAATAATATATGTATGAAAAAGTAAGAAAAAACAAATTGTGGTGGATATTTATTTAGTTTTAATGAAAACATAAACATTTAACTGTTTGTTTCTAATGCAGCAACGTAATTTTTTTTGCTAGCTTAAAATTTGAATATCTCGGCTCTACTTTGCTCATAAGTGATTCGAAAAGGCTGCTCAGCACTCCATAGCACTCCGGGTACAGCCTCAGGTTATAGTAAAATTGAACCCCGAAACCGCTGGCATAGCATTGTAGATAACAGTTCATAGTCTACAAAATCATCTTTTGTCAAATCGCCGCTGATTTTTTCTCGAAATATCAAAAAAAATTAATCTCTTTCGTATTTATTTTACGGCGGGTAGCAATATTGACGTGAGAATACACCAGAATATTCGAAAATTCATTGTTGGTCTATGTTTGAAGACTTAACAGGGTGACCACCCGTCCACCCTTTTTATATAAAATGGAGGAAATTTTTTTTTTTTATGGGAAAACGCAAAAATGTGAATTAACCGTAACGTAGTACCGACGCAACCGAAAGTGGGTTAAGCTGACCGGAAGTGCATTTTTTAGGGGGACCTACAAATGTACATGTAGCATTTATTTGAAACTTTTTCCTAAGAACTGCCATTTTCAACCTCTAAATGGCTTTTGAATTCAACTCGTTCTGAACTTCAAAAATGGACGAAAATGTATTTACTGGTAGTTCATAACCAAGTCGGGCATGCTCTATCTTTTGGTAGTATTACTGATTTCGACCGGAAGTACGTTCTTTTAGCCGGAAGTTTATTCTTGAGAAAAGCGCTTGCGACTAAAGTTATGTATTTTTGTCCCCAGCGTCTGAAGCTGTGGTAAAAACATGTATGTCCTATTTAAAAAAATGGACTTCTGGACGGTTTAACCAGCTTCCGTTCGAAACCGGAAGTTGGTAATACGACCAAAAGCTAGAGCATGCCCGACTTCTTAGTTCATATTTTTGCATTTTCCAATACATAGAAAACCTTTTCCTTCAGTTTAGAAGGAATGGACGGATGATCTAGGAAACCAGGTACTATATTAAGTTTTATAGCTATATAATGACGATCACTTCTACCTATTTGAAGTCGCGGTTTCGGGTAAAAGGTTGTACTGAGATTATATAATCCAGACAGACCCTAGGTTGCAAAGGTGGCTAACAAGTTCGGGTTATCTAAAAAAATGGTGCAAAGCGAGACAATGGCTCAGAAAGCCCTTAGCGGACTCCATCTCTTCCTTGTCCTTACAATTTCTGCAGAATCCTTAGATGAAACTGGCAGCCATAGGGGCAATAGCATTCCGTTAAGGAACTTTATGATCCACTCATCGGGCGATTGCGCTACTCTGTTGTGTGGTTTATTGAGTGGGTATCCTCAGAACGCAGTAAGTACTGGGCAGCGATAAAGAGCCTTCGACAGACTAAGCATATCGGCACTTCGGAGGAATCCATTAAAATGGATTGATATCAGGTTACCCTCTGGGTATCTAACGGCGCTTTCTTTTCTACCGAAAAATGTTGCCTTCTCATTGCCCTTTGCGCACAAATACAAATAAGAGGGCACCGAATAGGTATGACCGCAGAGTCAGGATTACTAATCGCAATACAGCTTGGCCTTAGTCAGGCAAAGGTTAGTGCCTTCGTAACGATATTAAAATCGTGATTAAAAATTTCAATGCCAGCGTGGGAAAGGATGGAGTTTTTGGTGGCACGGTTTCAGCTTATAAGACGATTCGTCCGAATATTAGTGTGCAACACGAGGCTCCAAAATACTTGATCGAAAAATGAGAAACTAAATCAATCATATTGTGAAACAAACATACGTATCTGAAGGCCACAATCGTACCACGGCATCGAATTGAAATTCAGCGGCTCCTAATTAAGAAAACGGTGAAAGTATTCAATACGGTATTTGCAGGTGATAGCAGAGGAGAAGGCGGATATTCTCTGGGAAGGAGGGACCCGGTGGTGAAGGTTTTGTCTTCACTTGGTATTTCAGTTTACACGGAAGAAAATTAACCGGCGCGGTTTGTTGGTACGAAAATGTCGATGAACCATTTATAGAAATTTATGGCCTTTTCGGGATTTTTTTGAGACTATTATAAGTTTAAGTATTCTTCGAGAATCTCGTTTTTTTTTTTGAGATAGAAATCTAAAAGGGGTTGCCAAAAGGAAGTCCATTTCAAACTGAGTTGTCGCTCTTGAACGCCCCACTTTTGAGCAATTGAGCGAGCATTAAAAAGGTGTGTGCGATCTAAGCAAAACTATATTTGTAATTTCGAAACTAAACAAATGGTTTGCAGTGCATTTCATAACTTGTGTGTGATATTTTTTATTTTTTATTTTTTTGTTTGTAAGTAGTATTTTGTAGTTTCATTCGTTTTTAATTGTTTTTAATTGTTTTTTTTTTTTTGTAGTTTAAAAGAAAACGATTTTTTACCGCTTGCCATCGTTTTGTTCTTGGTCACCAATTAGTAGAACATCATCAGACGTACTCGGTACTTCATTGAAGGTGACCTTCAATTTCGGTGAGCTTGGCGTTAATTTTGGCCAATACACATCATCGTTGCCACCATCAGTGCTGGATTCAGTGCTCAATTTGCCACCGCGGCCACTATTACCACCACCTCCACCGCCACTGCCACCGCCACCAGTAGTACCACTCATTAAAGATGAGCTCTTTAGCTCCGAGCTGCCAATATTGCTGCCACTGCCACTAACACTTCCAGCGCTGGGCAAACTACTACGATTTGCCATCAATAGCGGTTGGGTGGTCGCTTTGGTAATGCCATAGGCATCCATTGGTGGCAATTTGAATGTCCAACGACGTTTGGCTGTCAAACCCAACCAAATAACAATCCACAGCAAGAGATGTGCGACGCTGACGAGAGCTGTAGGGGAGAAAAAAGAAAGATATAGAAAAAGTGGAAAGAAAAAAAAACAAAAAGTTTATTATTACAAATGCAAGAATGTGGTAAGGTGTATGCATGCAAGTAAAATTTCAATTTCAAGCTTAAATTGATATTAGTTAGCAATAAAAGGTGAGGAAATGATGGAGTGTTTCTGACAAAATATTTCCTCTAATGCCATTGAACTAAAGTGCGCTCTTTTGCAACTGGCCTTCACTGTTCTTAAGTATTCGCTCGCACTGATTGAGCGCTTTAACTGTTGAGCACATCCTGCTTCTACATACAATCGCTTTATCTCTACTCTTCTCCATTGTTTCTTCTTCTTTAATTTCGTTGTTAAGCATTGATCCACTACAAGCATTGTTGTCTATGTGAGCGGCTTAAGTGCTATTCGATTGTACGAGTACTATGTATTATTTGCTAGCTTTTGCTAATGCGATTTCATTTTAATTGCGATTAGTTTCTGTTTTCTTTTCTGTTTTTTTTTGATACTTCTACTCCCTTTTTTCTGATTTTCTCGCCTGTTTTTCCTATCTTGCACTTTTATTTCATTCAGGTTTTGTGCTGCTAATTGGATTTGATGGTTCGTCAACGAGTTCAAGTGCCTGCTTTTTTCCTATTTCCCTGTTTAATATCCCAGTAGAACTTGGGAGCATCGTACGATTGCTCGGTGAGTACTCCCTTGGGAGTATACGAATACTCCCCATTGCTCCCTATGCTTCTGTGTATAAGCATGTAATTTTGTATACTCCCTTTAACATTGGATGTCCTAGGAGGGGGAGTAATCCCTTTTACCTCCTAAACGAGCAATCGGGGAGCACACACAGAATTATCATCCCACAAACCTTCTAATGGAGCAATACGGGAGTACTCCCATAGTTACCTCCCAGAAACCTCCCAAAAAAGACAACAAGGGAGTGCACATAGAAAACATCCCATATACCTCCCGAACGAGCAATAAGAGAGTGCTCCCATTAGAGGCATCCCGAAAGCCTCCTATAGGAGTAATAAGAGAGAAATGATAACGAACATTTTAAATTAGCCAAATAGATTTTGCTATTTATTAAATTTTTTATTTAACTTTTTAATCACGTGCATTTGTGCTAATTTTACAAGACCTTAACAGATATAAGTACGAGATCAGATAAAACATAAATGATACGTCTTACATAATTGCTTAATTTTAGAATTATATTGCAGAGAAATCATATGCAAGTAAAACGTAATAATAACAAAACGGTAAGATAAGATATGCACATATAAGTATGTACTCGTATAAGATTTCCTGGTTGTCAAGGATGCTTGCCTGGTCAGGAATCCACCAAGCGGGGAAATTGTGAAAGTGACTTTTCTTATCTGATATCTTTGTCACCCATGCGATGTTTAAACCCGGGGGTCACACTTAAATGCAAACACTAATTTGCGCAATCTGAAAGGTATTTAACGGTATATTTGTAAGTAATACAATGCTTAAAATATTTAAACAAAAGTTGAGGTACATACCAACGGACTTTTATTAAAATCTGTGTGCTATCCAAATTAGATTATTGTGTCCTCCTTATGCGCCTATAAGAAATATTTTCTGTTGTTTTTTTTTTCTATGATAAATTTTTTCGAAAACACAAAATTTCTTTTGAACGAGGTGCGTATTGCTCTCCTATCAATCAAAAAGAAGACTCTTGGATTTCTCGCTTAGGAGACATCACTTTTTAATCTTAAACGAGTAATAACGGAGTACAAAACCGACAAATCTCGCTTATTGCTCCCAAATCATGCATCAGTGAGCATTCTTTAATTGCTCGCTTAGGATATCTCTCATTACGCCCCTAAGCGAGCAATACAGGAGGAGAAAACCGACAAATCTCGTTTATTGCTCCCAAATCATGCCTCGGGGAGTATTATTTCGTCGCTCGCTTAGGAGATCTCCTATTTGATTCCTAAACGAGTAATAAAGGAGTACAAAACCGACAAATCTCCCTTATTGTTCAGAAATCAGGTTAAGGGGAGTACTCTTTTATTCCTCACATAGGGAGATCTCCCTTCAGGTTCTAGTGGGATAGTACACTTCGCTCATATAGTGCACACAAACATACATACATATGTACATATGTATATGCGTACAAATGTATCTATAGGAAAAGAAGTTGATGTCTAAAGAATTTAAGGATACCTTTAATAAAATCAACTGAAAATGGATTATGAAGGAAGTTTAAAAATTTTCGGTTTTTACAATTACAAAATTTTCGAATATCGAATTTTTTCAATCAGATAAAATTTTTTCTAAAATTAAAAAAAAAAAAAAATCCGTTTGGTGAACAATTTTTGATAACATTTAACATTTTTATTTTGCATTTTTTCATTTTGGGGAACTTTATAATTAATATTTGTTATGTAACATTCATTAGCAGGAACGGCAAATCGATTTTCTTCAAAATTTGATACTTTCTTCGCATTTTGCACTAAAAAGTTTGACATAAGCTAATAAAAATCAGAAAATTGGACTCGACAATCCTCTTATAAATTTCATCAGCTTTCATTTGAAAAAAATCAAAATCAAAGTCAATATCTGTGGCCTGTAGCCTAATTATGAAGCTAAAATTTCAGTTTTAGACCACTGTGCGCTGTCAGCTGAGGATGAACTGCTCACTCATTTGAAGCTGCATACCAAATTCCAAACAGTTTAGATTAATTTTCAGTCTTAGAACTGCTTGTATGGCAGGCTTTTACCGAAGTCCCCATAGAGTATTTGGCTCTATAAATTTTTCTTTTGCAGGAAGCTAAGCAACATAGCCACTTTTTTGCCGATTTTGACGTTGTTCTTCTCACGTTGTTGTCATCAGGCTGTTGTCCGTTAAGGGCAGAAACCGTGCTTTTGACAATTGTTCTATAGGATACTATAGAAGAATACGTGTTTATACCTATGTACCACAATCGGTATCAGACCCAAAGTCTTACTAAAGGTCTTCCGACTCTATCTGTAAACTTTAAGTGCTCGATTTACCTGCAGCTCGACTTGAGTTTTCCACGTTAGCTTCCTATCTAGAAGTAGTATCTAGTTTTCAGAGCTCTTTCGAGAGTAGTTAACGCCTATTTCAAGGCCAAATAGGGATGAGTTCAGGAATATTTGAGGTTCCTTTCGGTACTACCATAGTACTCTTTTGGGACTAGTTCAGGACTATTTCTGGTCCATGTCGGGATAGTTCACGAATATTTCAGGACCATTTAGGGACTCGTTTAGGACTATTTCATCAGCACTTCGAAACTGGTTCGGGAACATTTTGAAACTAATAATGGACTATTTCAGGCCCGTTTCCAGACTTGTTCGAGATCATTTCTGAACAAGTTCGGGACAAGCAAAAACGGAAGATAACAGACAGGCTTAATTCCTCATTCTGGAAATACCAACAAGGTAAACAAAAGCACTCAGCCACAAGGAATGGCTGTTTTTAAAATTTTCAAACCTAGAAAAAAAAA